GATATTCAAGATAATTTGTTAAACATAGTATGGTAAAGGCTTATCAAATTTAAATATTTAATTGCTGTAGAAATCTGTGAATTATTCTCACCTGTTTAAATTAAATCTTAAGAAACGTATTATACTATCTTAGAATGTTACATAATAGCATTACAAGTTTCGTAAATAATCACGTAAAATAATTTTAAATGATTCATTTAATTACCGTCATAATACTGCAGTTACACGATAAATTTATTTATTCAATTGAAGTTTCAAATTAATGAAAAAAAGTTAATAAATTTCAATGTTTACTTAAACTTTGTAAAAGTTACTCATAAATTGAATATACATTATGAAGACATTTAATGGTTTATTACAGCTTTATTTTTCACAGCTAATTCCATTTGTGCTGCAGCTACAGATTTCATACCCTCTTGCACAGCAGTTAAGTTTGATTTCCAAGCTGCAAGTAAATCACGTAGTTGCATCCATTGTGGTCGACCAAATGTTCTGTGCATAGTACTTGAAATAAGTACTTTACGACCAGCTTGATCCATTCGAGCTCTAACGAGTTTTGTTTTTAATACTGAAACATAGATATTGTATCTGACTATATAATTGGACAAGAAAAAGTATCTATGAAAATTAAATTGAATTATACATGTTGAATGACTCGATAACTTGGTAAAAGTGGTTTTTTACCAAGTCAGTACTGATCCTTTTTATCTTCCCTGTATATGTATCTTCATTTTTATAATTAAATTAGAAGACTAAAATTTCTTATACAGGGTGAATAAATAATATTAATATAAAGGTACTTAACATCTTTCAAATATTCAGACATTATGGACTCACCATCGATGATAAAACTTTCTACTTCATCTCCATTAATTTGTAATTCCTCTTGTATTGTGTCGAAAGACATTTCAGGATTTGTTTCAGCCAATTGCATAAATGTTAATAATCTCATTTTCTTCATATTCTGGTCATGATTTAATCCTAAAAGCCGAATAGTTATTTTTTATTTACTTCAAGCACTATTATACTTACAAATTTAAATACGTACCAAGTTGATGCTCAACAAATTCTTTGTGATGTTGATAAAAATGTAAGTATCCAGGTAATTTGTCTTTCACAAATACAAGAAGTAGATCATGAATGAGTTCTCCTTCCAAGAATTTTACAGGTTTTAATGCTAACAAAGGATCAAGCAAAAAAGTGTTAGGATCAGCTAATGCAGCTAGAATGCACCGTTGTGCATCTTCTCTAGCCGCAGAAGCATTTTCTGCTGTATAAGTGCCCAAGAGTTCTACCATAACTGCAGCTGCCTGTTCTCTGTAATATTTTTCTAATTTAGTATATCAATCACATTATAGTTTATTTCCAAACGCAATACAACTTACCCCTGTTTACATTTTAGGAGTACTTCATGTAATAATCTAAGCAATTTCTGCATTTGCTCATTAGATGGTGAGAGCGATGCAAACTGTTGCTTTAGTTGCTGAATTCCACCATATACTGCTTTTACTTGATCAACATTACAAGCAATTTGAACTATATGATAATAAACATGATACCTCATTGGAGATTCATCAGGAATAGATTGGAATAATAACCATAATCTACCAAAGAAAAGTTATGTACATGTAAGAAATACAAATAAGTGATATTATTATTTGTTATTTGATTTATAAAAATATTCATATTATTTGCATTAACTTACGCTTTTAAACATACTAAACCAAATTTGCAATCAGACGCTTTTGTTAACTTCTCACAAAATGCTAATATTAAATTTCCTGTGCGTTCTGTGGGAATTACTATCATAATAGATACAATGTCGTTTAAAACAGTTTCTATTTCACTTTCATTGCCCTCCTTAAAACAAGCTTCACAGACACCTATGATTTTGTGTAAATCATCCTCAATACCTTTAGGAGATTTTTCTTCACTGATTTCAGCACCTAAACTTTTGAAGTACACTCGCAGTTCTTGTGCCTAAAGACATAAGTAATTACAAAGATACAGGATGAAGGCTATTGATACAGAATATTGATATAAAAAGGCTAACAAAATAGAATTTATAAGACAATTGATTATAACCTATGCAGCACAGATGGATACTCTAATAAACGAACTTACTGTGTATTATAACATATTGATAACGATATTGAAAATATTCAAATGCTTAATATAACGAAGTTATTTTTTACCTGGTCCTCCAATGGTAATTCCATAAAAATCGGTGGTACCTGCATCTTGGTATGTGATTATTACCACGTTTCGGCAGGCAAAGTTTTAATTGTTGAGACAGATATGAATTGAGCCTCACATCTTTTAGCTTTAGCAGGGCTACCAACTATGTACGAAATAGGAACAAAATTTGAAATAAATTCGTAAGACCAATCTCGACATTGTAAATAATAAGCGCAATATAATATACAGTAGAGAATTCGAAAAGAAAGCGAGGGAACAGGGCAATAATTGTTGACCAAAGAATTTGGTAGTTATAAGTTATAATAAGTCTTAAACTAAGTACACTTTATACTCATTATCCCAAAACTTTTTGTACGGATGGTGAATAAATATTATTATTATTATAATAAATAACATAAAATGAATAAGTAACTGCTTGTTTCGCAACTTTCTTTATTAACGCCATTGCAGCTTCATCTGAGCCAGGTACAATTCCGAGCTCGACACCAAAAGCGAGCTCGCACAATAATATGCGCAGCCCTTACACATCGTACACACACCTTGAATATCATCATTCCGACGCTAACATAGGAAATTTACAAAAATTTCGTAAGCCAATGTGTCGGTGACTTTCTTGTAATCCCGAATGCAAGAAGTCTGTATCTAGTCAAAATTCACTACGACATCGTTCTAGACACACAGCTTTAAAACCATCCTCGCTAAAAATCGTACAAAGAATACAATTAAAGGTCGTTTCTTGTCTTTGGTAGTTAAAAGGGTTGGTGGGGGTATATATGCGTGTTGACGATGAAAGTAAAGTTGCAGCGGTCAGTGACAAGAAATAGTCGTACCCTCATCGTGTGCTCTGCACCACCGTGGAATAGTCTCTATTTCGTTCATCGACAAAATAGAGTGAATTAATTGAGAATTATATAAATTAAAGTGTTTACACGACGCGCTATAAACATCTCACGATTAATTATGTACACGAATGAAAATTCATTCTCTGAGACCGTCGATAAAGTCCGAAGAAAGCTGGCGCACGTGTTTCACACGTGATGTTACAGATTATTAGCAGAACATAAAAAATATATTACATTTCATATATGTATATACTGGACGCGAATTAAACCATTTAGGTCTGGAAAATAATATATTCTCTAACTGAAACAATGTACAATATATATTATGCCTAAACGCTGTCCGAGTCGAGTTGCATATCGCACCCCTACATAAAAAGTCTTCTCCACCTTTCGATGGTGCTCAAGATATTATTAACGGTCAGGATAGCAAACGTCACGGCAGCATCGACAATTTATTGCCCCGTATCTTTATCGGTTATCACATTGACCGGCGGCAATATAAACGCTATTTATTTTCTGCATTACTTAATCATGATCGACTTCGTGACGATTCAGAAGCTTTTAGGTACAGGACGCGATACGTACGTCTCATGGACGTAGTTATTTTCGAATAAAACTGAGAGAACCGTATGTTCAGCAATGCACCGATGCATATAAGATCGTTAAAATAATTTTTGTTGATAGATTACGTTATCGTTGCGCAAGAAAGATTTCGTATGCCGATAGGTATTTTTAAAAGATGCATTTTAAATAGAAGCTAAGGATTATAAGCTTTGAGTTAAGAGATTCTAATTATCATCTTTAATTTAAAAAAACCTTTCCTCGTCTAACGAACTCAGTTTCTCCTTGAATACCGCGAGAAACTATGAGGAAACTTATTGGCACACGGATATCCGTGCAATTAACGTCGAAAACAATCCCCTAGCACTTTGAAACAATGTATTTCTTCCATTTTCGTTTTTACGGGATTCGTTCGCAATGATTCGATACAATTGCTAGTGCTAATGGAACCGAATAGACGAAACATTAGTTCGACGCATTTCACTCAGAAGTGAATAGTATTCTCGATGATCGGAAAACACGCAACGGGAATCATCCGGATGCCTCAATTGTGTATAGAAGTTAAAGCTGGATCATACACCGGGATCAGCACGCTTTCAATGTTTCTAAATTATCCGTTTATTGGCACTGGTACAGGACTTTGTACCTGCCACACGATCAGATGACTCTGTTCTCCATGTTCTTCAGCATTCGCGGTGACAACACTGTTGGAGCGTTCAATGCTCTCTTCTGTTTCATCTCCATCACCTAAACAAGTAATAAGCCATCAATGAGATGATAATATTTATAATTCATGATTAAAGTTACCATATCTTATCAAACACAATCCAAGACACTTAAAAAATATTAATTAGATGTTAAGACAATCTCTACAACCTTCAAGTTATAAACTCCTGTATAATAAACAAAAGTTCTTTTTTGCCACTATATATTAATAACTAATTCTTTTTCATAGCTTATGGTACAAAATATCGGATTTCTTTTAATCCTGGATATAAATATAGATACATAGATCCTGAACTATTTGGATCAAGTCTAAATGTCTCTGGTAATACTATTTACAAACTTGCAAAATTGCACGAATTTTAATGTTCACTATCATCTCTATAGAAATTGTATTGGATGTTGTTTCGTATAAGAATTTGTTCGAACATTGAAAAGAAGAAGTGCGATTGTCGCCTGCCGTTTGTACAGTACGATAAATGTCAGCTGGAAATTCCCGACCCCCAGAGAATGAAGAAAGCAGATAATGGTACGGTGTATAGTTGCTTTGAGGAATGAAAGTGCAGACACAGTATTCGTTTTGTATTAATAAAGATTATGAAGATTGTAGAAGCGCTGTACAAAAGCAAACATTTACGAGAAATTTGCTCTTTCAAACTGATAGCAATGAATGTAATTGAAATTTTTGTGGATTCGCACGGATACAATTGATGTACCTGTCCTCTTTGAAAGAAAACTAGAAGTGAAATGTAAAATTTCTTTCAATATCAGGTTAGAGTATCTATCTACTTGTGAACTTGTTAGTTAAATCTCATTACATCGTGCATAGAACATACTCTCAATAGTTAGTACATAGTATCAGTGATCAATAACAGATAATTGATCCATTCAGTCGTACAAATGCTTATGTGAATTGACGAAAACACCCATTAACCGCTTTTCGATTTTCTCTGGGGGCATACCTGACCAACTGCCATACAATTAGATGTGTAGCCACGTCACTCTCGTCTTCCGCCTCATCTGCTGGAAGTATCATAATCGCATGAAATAATAATTTCATTGTTCGTTTCTCTTTAACATTCATGAAACAAAGATTGCAGATCAATACAATTTCTTTTTACAAAAACAGTATCTAATAGACTTGATTTTCCATGCTGTTAAAGATTTCGAGCAGATGATTAATGGAACTGTTTAATATAAAAAACTGTACATTAATGTGATTACTTACCAACTCTGAAATCTATGTAGCCTTCGCCTCCTGAAAGGACCAGCATGGCTGGTTGAGAACCATCTGATAATGCACTTTGACCACCGTGACCTATAGAGATTTAAAAAGAGGAATCATAAATAACGAAAAAGAAAAGTTTTTGATGAATGATATTTTGATAATTAAAGATGGATAGTAATAGAGACAAAAACAGCCTAATGAATGTGTGGGCATAATCGTAAATGGGTGCGACTGGAAAGTAAAAATGATTAAACATTGAGTATTAATATATAAAGAAATGAAGACATATTTCCTTATTGTTATAATTATTTACTTACCAGGTACAGCTACAAACATTTTCACTGAATCTCTATGTCCGTGGAAGCTAAGTTGTGCATGAGCCATACTACAATATGGTATAAAACTTCCAGGTGTAACTCCTCGGTCCGATGCAAAAATTCTAACACCAACTCCTGGGGCATCATTTTTACCACTTACAGCTTGAATTCTAGACACTGCCATTGAACCACCAGCATCTATATCGTATAAGAGTTTTATAAATAAATTTTAGATTTGAAAATTTATACAAAAAATCATTGTCTACTTACTTTCAGATAAAGGAACTGAAATTATTACTCCATTTCCTGTACCAATCCACAACCTATTCGAGGAAATGAGCAATGCGGTAATTCTTACAAAAGAAAAACCAAGCTTTCCAGTCCCAAGCATTTTGCTAACATAAGGTTCGATATCGACATCTTGGAGATGTTGATACGTATGCGCGTGATAGAGCCTCAATGTTGAATCCAGTCGAATGCTGACCCATACACCTTCACCCAACCAAGCTAATTGTCTCACTTGTGACTCTCGACGTGGATGAGCGTCTACTGTGCACTGACAATATAATATAATCAGTATATTATAAAATGTATGTATATATGATATTATCTATTAATATGAATATGTGTACCTCAACGGTCATCGAAACTGGATCTATTACATGAATCTTATTCCTATATCCGCACCATACAGTTTTGCCGCTAACAGCGGTCATGCACCTGATTGAATGCTGTGGATTACCCAAAGTAATCACATGGTACTGAGACAAATCCCATTGACCATCTATACCCCTTCTAAATAATGCTACACTTCCATCAGCAAGTGCGACAAGAACTCGGCCTTGAACATGTCTAAAGAAATAAATAGTGTTTTACATAATGTTTATTAAATACATTAAATACTAATTGCATCAACATATACATACACAATAGCCAGTGCAGCATCCTTCAATTTTACAGAATGTAAACAGACTGGCCAATTAGCTACAGCCGAATGAACAAACACTGCACCGTTTTGAGCTCCAAGCCACATAGTTGGTTGTATCGAAGACATTTTTTCCATTGGTGTATCTTCTTCAGGATCTTTTGTTTGGTTCTCCTCGTTCATACTTTCCTGTTCTCCCGCTCGTATGGTTGGTACTTCTACATTAGCTTTGACAAATTGTACTTTTCCGAGATTTATTGTTTCACTGTCTATACTCTCCAAACTTTGTGGCTCGGTTGTAGTATTCTGATTACTATCATCAGATTTTTCAATAATTTCGTTATTTTTTTCTTCAGAAGCACTATCTGAATCTTTTTTCTCAGAAGATTCCTGAATTTCTTGCTTAATTTTCTGATTGTTCTGTTCAACATTTGCACTAACGTCTACCTCATGGTCGTCGACATCCATTACTCCATTGGCAGTTCGAACTGGGTCTTCGTTAGCTGATTGAGCGTAGTCACTCTCTTTGGCTCCAGGTACACTCGCGATGCAAAGTAAATGTCCTTGGCAAACATTAAAAACTTCCAAAATTTCGGCTGGATTATTAGCGTCTATCACAGTCACTTTAGCCATCATTCTGATATTCTGAGTCGATGTACAGATCCAAACTAAAGAGCTAAGTTGTTGTTCTAAACGTTCTGCTTCCAACCTCTGATTTTCATTTTCCTGAAGCTCTTTATCCAAATGTTCAACAGCATCCTCAGCTTCATTCTTTGAGTTAGTACTTACTTCTTGAGCTTCAGCTGCATAGAACACACTACCTCCAATCATACAACCACCGTCACGAGTTTTACCTCCACTTAAATTTACACCAGCACCACACCATATCTGTATAAGTAAAGATAAAAAAAATTACTTGTTTGAGGAGATATTATAGTCTATAAAATAGCTTCACTATAGATATATGTATAATATACAATATCTGTATGTCATTTTTTCGGCACATAGCTAGTTATTATACTAGCGCTAGTATAGTAAAATATAGAATTTACCTTCATGCCAGGTTCTGATTCCTGTAAAGGTCTACAATAAACGGGCACTGGAACAGGTTGTCTAACAGGTGCGCTTGGTTTTCCTGGTAAACTCCATCCATAAGCTTGCAATCGACCATCTTCTTTTCTAACGTGTGCGCGAACTTGCCGATATTGCTCTCTTCGTTCATGTGCGCGTCTGGCTACGAGTTTTTCGGAAGATCTGAAAAAATGTGTTGAATATAAATTAATCGTTTAATTTTAAGAAGTAGATACTATCAAAAGTAGCATGTTCAATTATATAAGTTAGTAAGATTTACTGAACGCTCTGTTGTTTGTTCAACCATTTGTTCCTACGAAGAGTTCCTCGATCACTGCATACATTCTTGAATCGATACGGAGGCTTAAATTGACTGTTCTTTCCAATGTATCTAATGTTCAGCTTCATTACAACTTGCACATTGATACATATTCATTTCCAAGGTTTAGAAGCGGAATGTTAGACATAGAGCAGAACAGATTTACCTGCTGGCCAATAAGCACCCCACCGAAAACCAGAAATACCAGGTATCTCTTGACAACACCATGAAGGAGAGGCAAAGTTGTAACCCGAACGAAAAATTAAAGCGCAGAACAAGAGTGAAATAAAAGCCATGTTTATAATATAGTCAAAACTCCGTTTATTTGTTGATCGATGATGATCGTGTATTATTATTCTTTTCAAAAATGTACAAACTTTTATTTACAAAACTATAGCTTTTCAAGCTTGAATTTGCAATAACAGATAATTTACTTCACTAAATTGTAAATACTGTAACCAAATATTTAACGATTATGGCAAGTAGTGAATTCATATATACACACATATATATTTGAATATATATACATATAAATATATATGTATATATATCTATATATGTCTCATTTCAATATACATACAATAATTTACAATTTTCCGTATGTATGAAAAATAAAACTAAAAATAGGTATACTGTTTAAGAGCAAGATTGTCAAAAGGAGAAAAATTATGTGTCTGTGTGCATTTCGTCATAATTCCTATTTATATTTATACACACCCAGAATCATTTTTTATTAAAGAGATTGGCAGGTGAAGTGGGAATTGTAACAAGAATTTGTTAAACAACCATCACATTTGCAAATCGCTCAGGCAAAAAATTATTTAGAATTGACTCACATCTTTTAAAAGCGATCAAGACTAATTGAGAGTCGCGACAAAAGATTATGGATCCCAACTGACCAAAGGGGACTCTAATCTGCAAAGATGACGTCGATTCAAAGATTATTTGAAAATAAAGATCTCGCACTGTCCCATAAAGAGTATAAAAACCTTTCTCATTTTCTGTCCTCTGGACAGCTTCAATAATATAAAATTAGATTAATTTACGCATTAAACTTGTGTCATGATGTTCATAGAAAACTTTCATAGTAGAATAATCACAGCATTGTACTGGCGTTAAAAAGAGAGCACAACGACAAAGAAACGAGTTTCTAAGTTTAAATGAAAGAGAAAAATTTGGCATGTTTTCAGTTTTAAACTGATATTAATATCTAAGTGTGTGTATAGAATTTGATTGATTTCTCACATGGTGTCTCCCTGGTCGAAAATCTCATGGCGACCTTTCAACGTACGTCTACGCATGCTGTCCAAGGGTGGTACTGGAACAACTTGATTCGTTGGTGCGCTGTACCTAATTTGAGATAATGTGTGTGGTCCTCGAACCAAAGCCCCTCGGTCCGCGGTTGATGTAAAGAGACTACTAAAACTGCACACAAAAAAATGGAATACAAATTATGATTTACTTACGACGAAATGACTTATATATACTTGTCCAAAATTATGTTATGTTTTAATATAAACGATACTAACAACTTCCACACTGAACCTTTTCCTCCCGACATATTAGAAGGATCAGTCTTGCTAGCTCTTATCATTTCTGTCCATCTAACTGCTTCCTGAAGTTCCATCAAACGTTCCTTGTACTGATTTCTTTCCATAAGTACCCTAGCCATCTCCACTCTGGTAAATCTTTTTCTTTGTGCCAAAGGTACGTCTTCCTCATCATCACTTTTGGCCGCCTTCGCTGCTGCTTCGGCTTCTTCTTTAACTTTCTTCAATTCTTCTTCAAGGGCAACAACTTTTTGGCGTAAACGTTCTCTAGCTTGTTGTAAACCTCGAACTTCTTCGCGTAATATTTCTTGTTCACTGAAAAATATATTCACCATCAATATAATTCAATGCCAATACCACGTATCGTCATATCAAGAAACGGCAAAAGTTATTTATAAAATTCGAACACAATATCAGTTACCTTGTAAGCTCATCCACTTTAATAATTAAGTCATCTTTAACAATGTTAAGCGCATTCCTATGAAATAAAAAAGTTTAAGTAAACATGAACAACAGAATGATATATTAATAAAGTGTTTATAGTACACTCACTTTGTGGCCAAAAGTTCATTATTTTCCATAATAAGATTCTCCACTTCTTTACCCATTCCTAATAAAATATTTTTATCGTTTAATAACTAAATTTGGTTGATGTAAGAGTTGATGAAAGATTTTATAGAATACAGTCATTTTCAAAGCAAAGATAGTAATATCTTACCGAAGAAGTTGTCACTGACTGGAGGATTTATTATATCATGCGACATAACAAAGCGAAAAGAATGAAACATAGAATGCATTAGTATTTCGTATTATATATAATATGACTTAAATGTAGTTTATTTCGAAGTAAACAAGTTATGTGTCCAAATGTAAAAATTGTACCACTTATGGAGGAATATTCTATATATACATAGCATTGCATTAAAATATGAATATTTTCATGCCTGCTAATTCTTTGTAATTTTTATTATTAACACTTCAGAGTTCCAATTCGATTAATTTTAAAAAATCAATTGCTAAAATGCAGAAAATTACGTCAATTTACTTATAACATTTTTTAATGTTTATGAAACCCACGGATTTTGTTAGTATAAGATCGGACATGCATGTTTTATCAATGGTCACATACATGATATGTATGAGATATGGTCTTCTATTTACATATATTAGTTAGAACTCGAAGAATTAATAAACCATGATATATTTAAATAAATTTTGGTTATTTTGTGAGACATACCCGACGATGCATACTCTCCAGGATGAACCCAACTACCTAAGATTTTAAGGATGAAGTATTAGTTACACAAAAAATATTAAAACCAGATTATTTTCTAAACGCTTCACAATGATTACCTGTTATATCTGCTCCTTCATCCATTTCACCCAAAGCATCAGCATCTTGAAAACTGAGTTCCTGGTATAATGTATTGCCACTTCGTTGTTCTCTTTCGGTCCTACTCCTTCCACTTGGCATTGTAGCCAGTTTCTCTACTGTCGGTGATGTTGGTGTAATTAACATTGGAGGTGCTTCTGTTTCTGGACTTTCACCTACATGTAAGTGAAACAAAAAGATACAGGGTGTCCCAGGCCATCCATCCACCTCCATTAAAATCCAAACAAGTTTTGTCTTAAACATTTGACCAGATTCCATTAAAAACAAGCAACTTGCGGTCTAAAAATCCTATTTCCGGACAGTACCGGAAATTGCGACTACTGTCATTCGATAGAGCGTACTCGAATTAGTTATCAAAATTTTTTTAGTTTTCAATTAAATTCACTTTCCTCTATTTTAATGGGAGTGGATGTGTGGTCTGGTGTATATAATAAATATAAGTGGTTATAAACTGCATTAAAAACACAAAAGCTTCAGATTTCAACATACGTCTAGAAATTGCCGTTGTTTTATTCTCTTGTGCTGGTTTATCAGTTAATTGACTTTTATCAGAAGTTTCTATAGCAGCTTCACTACTGCTGTCTAACATTTCAGTTCTTAAGTTAGCAGCATTTGGCGGACTTTCCTCTTGAACTTCTTCCTCATTCATACTAGCTTCTAAACTCTGAAAACCATAACTCAATGGTCCAGAACTCCTAGACATATGAGCCATTCCAAGAGATGGTAAACGGGATGGACCACGACCACTAGTCGCATTTTCTAATCTCTCCGTGCTTCCAACTAACATCTTCGTTCTTTCCATATAATCTACATGCGTTTTAAATAACTCTGTGTATCTTTCATGCAGCCGGGTATAATCTCGTTTTAATTCTGCCTCTTTTTCTTCAAGACGAACAACTAAACAAACACAAAAATTGAATTCCATATCTAAGATATTAATTTAATTGTAAGGATTAATTATGACAGAACACACTCTAAGTCTAAATAAAATTAAGTACATATACTTCCAGCCGGAAAACGGAGTAAGTTTAGAAGATACCTTAAACAATAAAACAAAAAAATAATACAACAATAAATCACCACCGCATTAAATATCCAGATAAATAAAGCATTTCCAAACAAAATAATTTATAATTTGCATGCAAAAAATCCATTTCCCAGTATGTCCAATCAAATTTAACCCACTAAACAATTAAATGAACATAAAACAAAAAAAATTATTCTACTCTACTGTAGAGGGATGTTCTGTGAAGGAATGGACTGGTAGAGCCATTGACATTTGTACCGTGATCATGTGAATTCTTTGTCTTCAATTCCAACATCCTTACTATTGATTCCAAGCTATCAATTTTTAATAAAAGGTCTTTCCTTTCATCTTCCGCAGCATCTTCAAGCTCAAGCAGTTTCTAATTTAGAGAAGAGAGAGTTAGTTAGATTTGTCTAATGTAGGATTTTATGCTAACTTTTATTAATTACACATAGACAAGACTAGACCACAGATTTGCATATGTATATTGCACTAATCAAAATATTAAGATTAAAATCTACTATAATATAAAAAATGAAATCTTGGTACCTGATCAGATGTTTTCCTCAATTGTTTCTCTCTTTCATACTGTGTAACCAATTGCTCATTGTCTTCCCTTAATAATTCTAATTCGACCTCACGTTCCTGATTTTCGGTATAAGATATGTCTAGACATTCTAGAACATTGACTAGGAGTGGCATTAAATCTTTCACCACATCTTCGTCATAACGAGCGATCATTTTTTCAAACTCTTGATAAATACTGCCAGCCAGGGTCTGCACTTTTTCTGACATGACCACATGGCTGTCCTCGTGTGTTCCGTACACTGTTTCTTGATCCATTTCTATTTGACTCATTTGTACACCTGTAACATGAAAATTTCAAATAAACATAGGATTGTTTTACTTAATTATCAAAAAGTATACTTCATTTTGCACCTTTAGTAAAGTAGAACTGAATATGTCTGAAACTACTTTTTAGGCATTTTGCCAAGAAAGAAACTAATATTACGAAGTATCTATAACACGTCAGAAACGTTATTGCACAACAATAGAAAAAGACTAAGAATCGTATTGCAAATGCGAGCGAATGGTGTTCTCTGGATTGTATTAACAAAATATAGAAACGATATTATTTCACTCAACTACAAGCAGATAGTACTTTGAATAGTATTTCGAAAAATTCATTTACGAGAGATTCGAAAGATAGGGCATCGTTAAAAGCGAAAAATGCTCTTTCAACACAATTCAAAATTAATCATGATTCGAAGTCGTACTAATTGCCAAATACAACTGAAAGATTTGCCTTCAGAAAAATTCGCAAAGGAGCCAAATGTCAGATGCATAACTGCACATAACCTTGCACGAGGCACAATTCAAAATCAGGATACACTTTTCGAAAGAGAGAAGACTGATTCAGGTCATCGCGACTCCAACGCGTAGAACTTCGAAGCCCGGTAATACACAATCGTTCGCATTATCACTATTTTTACGTTTGGGAACTTCCACTGAGAACGAAGTGGAACGTCTTGCCTTGAAGTAGCCCGTTCCGTGTTGTGATCTGTGACGTTTCGCAACCACTTAAATCTCTTGGTTCCCCTTTTTTTTTCTCCTCCCGTCGTTTTCGCACTCAATTTAGAATGCTCGTGCAAAGCAATCCACCAGATCACACGAAACGCACCAGGTCGGCGCGGACTAGAGTGAACATTTTTCGTACATCACGCCTGTCACATTTGACATCAGCCGATTTCATTAGTTTCTGTCAACTCTGTTGACGAGCAACTTTACGCGTAGACTTTCGCCATCTTTTCCACGATCTTCTACCGTCCAATGCTGCAGACTTATGTACGTTAACTCTTGACGTGTTCACAAATAGAGCTGTGAAACCATCGAGATACGGAAACTTATTTTTCCACTTCCTCTACGCCCAGTAGATGGCCATGCCTTCATTGCGTTTGCGTTTCCGTGAATCTATTGGATAATCACTAAACTGCGCCTTATCTCTAATAGATTCGTAATGTAATCTACGTGGCATATTTTAAGTTGATCCTACAATTAACTATCTTCTTGCACTACATATTTATCACTACTTATCAAGTACACTATTGGACATTAGTGATTACGCATATTTAATACATGAAGACCATTCTATAATATGTAAAGCTTTATTTGTACTATTATTTATAGGAATAATACAGTTCATATTTTACTTAAAAAAACATGTAATTTTAGAAATGTAATACCTTAAAGGTAAAGCATAGATAAGTATTAGGATGGTACAATATTCACTCCCATAGTATGTAATCATCTTTAGATACAAAGGAGAACTCTTAATTTTGTTTACCTGACTAATACATGTAATAATTAAACACAATAAGGGGATAAATCATTAAACATTAAAAATTAGTTTCTGTAACAGATATACAGAGTAATACCGTCAATGGACACATAATGTTTGGTTAATAGAAATTAGTTTGATCACGGTATAAATGTACAATACATTCAAAGGGAACACAAATATATCGCAAAAGATATAAGAATTTTCATTTCCACTTGTAAATTAACTCTCCATATTCCTGGTTTCCAATGTGTGTCCTGAGTATAAACATTCAACTAAACTAAGTAAATTTTCGCATATTCAAATCGATACTAAAACACACTATGTATCAAGAGAAATCTCTCTTTACGTAAAAATATTCCATATGTCTTGCAGTTTCATCCAAATATCAAAAACAAAAACGCTAATGGAGCAACTACTGATTTACCTAAATGAAAACCGATATATATTTATATTTAATACATCGATTACATGTTGCAGTCAATTTTTACTAGCCTTAAGCGAAGGGTTATTCAACCCTGTGGTTAATAACGGCCGCGGAAGCCACCTCTTCCGCCCCAGTTTCCACCGTCTCTTCCTCGAGAATTGAAGGTTCCATAGCCTCGAGTAGCACCACCTCGAAAACCTCCGAAATTATTATTTCTTGGGAAACCGCCACCGCCGCCGCCATTGCCGTAGACACCTTCAGTGCCAAAGTTTCCACCACCACCTCCATTGCCAAAGCGAGGAGATCCGCGGAAACCACCTCTTCCTCGCATTATTTTCGTAGGATTAGCGTCCGGATGAAAACCGATTGAGTGCCCTCTTGGTGGCCTTCGCGATTGGAACCCACCTCCCGTAATCTGATCGAGTTCATAACGACACGCATTCATCCCACATAATGTCTTAATTAAACTGAGTACCTGTAAAAAGAAATTAAATATTCATTAATTTGTATTGTTTAAAATTGCAAACTTATTCGTGGGGATATTATTATGGAATAATACTTTTTCTTCGTTAGAAGTTAGTTCTAAAATAGTCTCCGGTTCTTTTGCAGCTTTCACAACGAGACTTTCCAATGCAGGTCGCAATGCAACTATCGCAGCTGCATGATTTGGATTCATTTCTAAATTAATCCAATTATCAAGTTTTACTACGCCGTCGACATACTCAACTTTTCGGGAACCGAATAATAACAAGTGAATTGGTGATACCATAGTTAGCTGCTTACAAGAGACTGCTCTTGTACGAATCTACAGACAGATATAGAATGTTATAACGTCTAAGTATAGTTTATAGATAAATGTAAAAGAAAATTTTATCTTACCTTTTCTCCAAATACAAAAAATGGAAATGGAAAGTTTTGCTCGAAATTGCTACAATTTACTGATGTTTTATGGATCAAAGCTGCTTTAGATTCAGTAGTGAGAACCTTTCTTTTTTCTTTGTGATAACAAACATTTGGATAAAGACCCATGCATAATAAAGCTGTAACAGTGTCGAGGCGTACATCGGCACCAGCTTGATAATTTAATGGTGTGGGACATAAAGTTTCCTCTGGAAAACCGGCACTTTGTAGAAGTGCTTGTAACTGATTCTGCAAATGAAATATGTTACAGTCATATTGTTTTGCAATGGACTCACAAATACATAATAAATATTAAAATCTACCTTAGCTTCCCATGTGACCCTCAATGTAGGCACACTCAAATTTTTTGAATCACAGAATGCTTGCTCTGCATATTCTCCACCAGCCCTAGCTTCTTCCCAAGCTTGGAATGCATGTAACATCGCCACGTGGTCACTATATCTTGCACCAGCGAACCACTTCTGTTGAGTAGTCAATCGTTTGGTATCAGGACCCATGTTATATACTTCTGGAAACGTTGTACTGTTCGCTGCCATCGTAGATAGAGCATCGCCCACACGAAAAATACAGCCCAGAATCATCATTTTTCCTAAACGTGGTTCTATAGGTAAACGGGCTAATATTTTACCAAGTGGTGTTAGTTCATCGTTTTCGTCTAAACATTTCATTTCTGAAATAAAGACACATGATTTACAGTTTTAAATATAAAAAGTATGGCAAATAAACATATCAATGTTTCAAATAAGGAACATACCACGTAAAATCACCTCCGCTTCTATTACAGCATCTATTGGTGGTGGTTCAATCGCTTTTGACAAGAATTTCCCGATACTACCTAATCGTAATAACTTAATGCTTAACGCTAACTCATGTAAAGGTGTCCTAAACATTTCTGGTGTCATATGTTCGTCCATTTTATTGAAACGTGCTTTAGAACATAAATGAAAACAAAATCCAGGTCTCACGCGACCTGCTCGTCCCTTTCTCTGTTCCAAATTTGTTTTACTTGCCCAAACTGTAGCGTAATTCGTCATATTATTGTGAGAAGTGAATAACTTCATTTTAGCTTTGCAGGAATCTATTACATAGACTACATCGTTAATAGTAATCGATGTTTCAGCAATATTTGTGGATAGAATAATTTTTGTAATTCCCTGTGACACTGGATCGAAAACTTTGCGTTGGTCTTCTCTAGGTAATTGAGAATGTAAGGGTATAATTACATAACCCGATCCTCCGTAAATAGGATGTTGTTGCAGATGTTTCATTAACGCAAATATTAAATTCCAACCAGGTAAGAAAATTAACACAGCACCAGGAATACCTTGGTCTTTGATGTACTTCAACAGAGCCTCAATTAATTCGAAACTTATTTCCTTCTCACTAAGCTGTGCCATAGCATTTTTCGTTTGTATGGAATACTTACTGCTAACTACTTTATTCAAATTTTCATCTGGTTCTCCATCTGTTGGTAAATCATCAGAGTCTCGATTTTTACGTTTTTTGGTATCCATAGGCGGTACGAAATTCGTTAATTGTACGCAATCTTCTAAATAATATTGCTGAACAGGATAAGCTCTGCCAGGTATTTCTATCACTGGACAATTATTAAAATATTTACTGAACAAAGTTGTGTCAATTGTAGCAGACATTAGGATGATTCGCAAATCTGGATACATATGAATCATGTCGCGAAGAACAACCATAATGAAGTCTGAATTTACATCACGTTCGTGAATTTCATCAACTATAACGTGAGATACGCCTCTCAAGCCGCCTTCCAGTTTCCGCAAAAGTACACCAACAGTGCAAAACATTATACTGCCATAAGGTCTTGGCAAACAAGATTCAAATCGTACGGAATATCCAACAGATTGCCCTAAAGTTTCACATCTTTCTATAGCAACTCGATCGGCTACAGATACAGCAGATATTCTTCTAGGCTGTGTAATTGCAACACTGCAAAATGCACCTTGGCCTGATGCAATATAATCATCCAAAATAAACTGACACACTTGCGTTGTTTTACCACATCCTGTATTACCACGAATAATAATTATAGGATTTTCGTGAATAGCGTTCATTATTTCATTTTTCATTGAGAAAACAGGTAATGAAGATCTGTCTTTCATGCTCTTTTGTAAATTGTCATCTTGTTGGAGCCTTTCGCGTTGTTCATGTTGCAAATCATCTGAAAGTTGTTCTAAAGTCATTGTTGCTAACGGTCCTTCATCTATATTGCAGCCAGTCCAAGGATTCCAGTTTTGTTGCGGTGGAGACCAACTTACTACTCCAGCAGGTTGAGGTACGGATGAAATAAAATCATCCAATACTTGATTAGTTAGTAAAGATACAGCAGACATAGGTTGGTTATCTTCTTGCTTTACCTCTGATGACTGTAGAATCAATTTATACATATGTTAACATTTGATATGAAATATTAATTTATTGTGAATGAGATTATAATAAATAGATATACCTCAATTTTCACTGAAACAGGTTTTACATTTAAGCATGACAAAACATCGTGAATCTGGCTTTCCACTTCTGGTGAAATCTTGACTGGGTATGGCTTTATTTGTTCAGCATCTTTATTCTTCTTTAAAGTACCACTAAATGCTTCGATAACACCAAGATGATATAATTGTCGAACAAGAGACAGAGCACAGCTCTTAGAAGCTGTCTGCTTATTTGAACCAGTTTCACGGCCAGTAACATCTAGAATTATTTTTATTAATATTTGTTGTAATAAATAAATCTCTATAAATATTTGAATATAGCAACGTACTTCTTCCAAGCTGTTTCACATAAAACGTCATTTCAGCCATGAAACTCCTAAGAAAATGTGCAGATGTTTATTATTAATATTTTATATATATTTATTTTTGCTTGTAGTATACTTGTTAGATAACAATAACATAAGTACAAACTTACCATTTGAAAATATCCAAGACCACATTGGAGCACATTGTAATAAGTTTGCATGATCAATCGCACCAGAACCGTTATTGAATTGTTTCAATAAAAGTTTTGGTTAAACATTATCTTCATCTGTGCACAAGAGAAAGCAATTTTTTTCTTTTGTACCAGCATCAAGAACAATTAAATAGTGTACTCCAGAATGGTCTTAATCAATTTCAAATGGTAGAAAAATCACTCATGCGGTTGCTTCATTTTCCGTTGGAAAAGTCTTAATATAAGCAGACTTGCAATATCATGTTTCTAGCAGTGATAAATCCGATCCAGTGCAAAAATAAACAGCTACATTGAAACAACCCATACCTCGTATGATCTGGGCCAAGTGGGGTATATTTGTAATCAGCGTTAATTTTGTTAGATTGCATAAATTGATGAAGTTTTGATTTAGCATTTTCAATAGTCCAATTTCCATGTATTCCAGAATTAACATCAACATCTTCTGCATCTTCAACCTTTTTCTGGTCTGCTATTCTATCCATGTAGGTATAATTGCCTTGGCCATGCTCATTGTAAGCTCTGTAAGCTTGACCTATATCATTGGGTCCCATTCCGTCTTGAAACACAGATTTTGATGGTCCATAAGGCTCTGGATTAGTAGGTCCAGTATCGTGTGGTTGTATAGTTCCTGCATCTTTTGGAACATCGTTAACATTCACATGTCCTGTACGAACTAAATAATTAACATAATCTCTGGCTGCATTGCCTTGAGCATCTTTCTTATTAGTTGAATTTCCAGCACCCACATAATCAAATCCAGATACACGTAATTCGCACAAGAATCGTTGTCGATGTTTTGGCCCTGGATAATTACGACAATTTCACAAATATATTCATATATAGATTTAATTAAATGTAAATGTAACATAGAGAATTCAAAATACCTGTTGGTCTGACATCAAATTGCGGTTCTTTGCTATTTCTTCCGCACCATTGATGGAAAAAAGATTTTATATCACCCATTTTTAAATTTTAATAATGCGATTAAAATACTGCAGTTATTATTACGTATTTGATCAACAAAATCCGTACATATAACCTAAGTGTGCATATAAACTCAATCTACAAACAACTTCGCCTCTTATATGGCGACCGCCGGAACCGGAAGTTATGAGCATATGACTATCGAATGTTACGTGTATTAGTACGTATTTTCACCACCATTGATCCTTCTTCCAATTTACAATGTATATGTACATACATATATACATACGTACACGCATAAGATATTTACGTATTACATACATATGTATGTACGCATTACTGAACAGAAATTGTACGCATATGAACTC